AATACTAGATATTAATGATTCAGTTGCACACAACCGATACGTTCATCAAATACAATTCCAGGAACCAGATGTTTCTGCTCCAATTTCAGTAGTTGATTCTAACATTCCATATCGTACAGACACAAAATGAACTGTCGATTACCGAAAGTCGGATTCTCATTTAAGCTGTGGTGGTTGTAGCATTTGTACTAACTGATGATTACTTTGTACTTGATTACTCGCTGAAGACAGGTTCCCAATATAGTAAGTTCATTTGTGTTTATCTGTTTATTCTTACCGTAAATAGTACTACTTCGGAAATCCTTAGTTAGTACATCACTTCTAATTGCCATATATTCCCAAAACCTTCAATTAAAGACAGATGTAACTAGATAAGAACAACTGAACTCAATAGATTTACAATCCTTAACACTCGCGGAAACAATTATTAAGGAATTGTCAGTTAGTACAAGCATCATAGAAAATCATGTGTATAATCGCGAATCTATAAAAATATTTTTTGTTACAATAAGTATCGGAACAAAATTCACCACAAATGTTCACTATCATGGTCTCCTAGAGTTCGCTGATAAAGCTACAGTGTGGCGTCGAGTCGCGGTTAACTATGAACACTACTGCAAAAAAAACTACATGCCAGTTAACCAATAAGATCCCCCTGTAGGCCAAATATCAGAAGGCAGTTGATGACTGTAGTCGAGATGTATTTGTTGGCAATCTCGTGGTAACGAAAGAATACCGAGATCGTGCCAAGTTACATGTGTGGTTACTGAGCGTAACCGATTTCATGCAAGGTCACAATCAACGGAAGGAAGAATGTCTTTGATACAGTTAAACAAACAAGTACAGTAAAACAATCACTGGTACAATTGGTCATAATAGTAATTGTTTCCATTACACCAATCGCGTTCTGTTGATAAAAGTAGGTCACTACAAAACGGTGAACCAAAGAGCAATAAAGAAATCAAAAGTTTAAAGTCTAAAGGATAAACGAAACAAGTTCAAGATTTGAACACAATGATTATATCAAAATTTCAATAAAAGAGGTGACTTTCACAATAAAAGTTTATGGTATGTTAGATACTTCAGGATTAAACTGCACAACTCATATTTTATCCTACTTGCATGCATTTTCGTCAAATATAAGGAACATTGGTTTCAGAAACCACTTTTTAATTCGAATACGTGGACACTCTCGAAATACATTAACCTCCAATTAACTGTTGAATTAATCAAGATTATTAAGTTTGAGTGAATAGATTATACCCATTGGACCATACTAAGAAACTGGAACTGTATTAGATACTAAACTGAGGCTAATGAATTCTTCTTGTCAGTCACCTATACAATAGCGATTTATTATTTTTATTTTAACACATAGGTATTGGTACAAGGAGGCACCAAGTACATATGCGCCACACGAATCTCAATTGATTTGTGTGAGGGCTGTGATACTGCCCGGGTGCCTAAACCGAACCAGGTGGTTTTCTTAGGGGGCCACACCCCTAATACAATAGCGAACTAAGAATGAATGCATTTCCTTGTGAAACAAAAATGTACATCATTAGATTTAGCATTAAAAAAACAATAAAAAGTTAACTACAATTCATCAAGACTTAATCTAACTTCATGCAATGAACATATTTGATTTCATATGTTGATTACTTTATTGGACAGAAACATTATGAAAATATATCGCTTGACTGAATAATGCCCTTGATCACAGATGGAAATTTGCTCTGTTGAGATTGATCAAAGAGGTATTGCCCTGTAAACCAATAAAATTGCATTATTTATATTTCCAAAAAGCATCTAATTCTTTGTTTTTGTTTTATCGACTGATTATATTTATATGATTAACCATTCATTTACTCAATTGTTTCAGTCTAAAGATGTTATGGATGACTGTGTTGGGTAGATATAGACAATATTGAAATAAGTATTCAGTTATATGTACCCATGAGATTTAAGTCGTGTCAGTATTAGTTCACTTGTTTATGGTACTAAATCAATGGACCTAATACACCATATTTGACTCACTATAATGTGATTACCTAACCTATATGATATGATGTTGAAGTCACCTCATTGCCCTGTCCTTCTAGTTAACATCTTTTAACGAATACATTCACTCTGACTAATAGAATAATATACTTAACATGAAAAATATTCACCGTGACTAGGCTTACATGTTGAAGACCTACAGTCCCTGTAATGTACCTCTCCTTGACCTTTATTACCGCTATCTTTCACTTGTAGTTCAAAAGCTCACTGTAATTCCATTGTCACTATATTCTCACTAAATTGTTTGCGAATGAAGATAATACCAATAAGACAAGGGGGATATGTTTGTTTAACAGCGTGAAATGATGTGATCTTTTAGGTTAGAACTAGGTATGTGAATAGCATAAAGCACCAGTTCTTGGTTATGCATATTACATTGCTTATTTTATTAATACTAAGAAGAACAATAGTAGAAGTTGAGTACCTACTAAACTGCTTAGTAATGAAATAATTTTCCTTTATAACGCAAAAATGTCGTCATGAGACGCATAGAAGATACATAGCAGTCAGTGATTCTTTTGTGAACACGCAATTCAGATTACTATGAAATAATCTAAAAACTGGAAACATTCTATCTTTTGTAAACAGGCATACGAACAAGATTCTCAACTTAATTGTATAGTGTAAATCAATAAAGCGAATTATAACTTATCATACATTTACTGTTGATTGAAAGTTACAGATCACAAAATAGATCACGACAACTGGAAGACAGGTTATTGTGAGGTACATTTTCTCTATGGACGTTTGAATTCTATCGTCAGAAAGTTCTTATAAACAACTGTGTAGACTAATTCGCTTCGTAAAAAATAGAGCAGTCCAAGAAAAACTTTCGAATGTCATGAGGTTGAACACTTTCCTGGGGAAACACATGAACCATCTAAGTACTGATATAAGGTGAAGTAATTGGTTCATGATAAGATTAACTTTTCTGAAACGTGGACGTGCTAATAATAACTCCACCACTGCAAATAAAATCTGATATATTATTATTTACTGTAAGAAATAAAGTTATATTCTTTTCATAAACATCGATTATGTTAAGATAATAATGCATCAGACCAAATTGACTTATGTAATCTACTCTCACACTTCATCTTTCTTTTGGTGGTCACTGGATCATGAAGACCTCGACATCTGAGGGGAAACACAGCATACAATGGACAGCTCAGAATCAATTAGACGATTTAGACTTCGCAGATGACCTAGCCCTCCTATCACATACACACGAACAAATGCAGATAAAGACAGCCAACATAGCAGCAGTCTCTGCATCAGTAGGCCTGAACATACACAAGGGGAAAACGAGGTCCCCAAATACAACACGGAGAACAGCAATCAATCACTCTTGATGGCGAAACTCTGGAAGATGTGGAATCCTTCACATACCTGGGAAGCATCGTCGATGAACAAGGAGGTTCAGATGCAGACGAAAAGGTGAGGATAGGCAAAGCAAAGACAGCATTCCTACAATTGAGGAACATATGAAATTCAAAACAACTATCTGTCAACCAATATCAAAGTCAGCATCTTCAATACCAACGTCAAGGCAGTTCTACTGTACGGAGCTGAAACTTGTAGAACTACTACAACCACCATCAAGAAGGTACAAGTATTTATCAATAGCTGTCTACGCTAGATACTCAACATCCATTGGCCGGATATCATTAGCAACAGCCTTCTCTGGGAGAGAACAAACTAGCTTGCAGCTGAAGAGGAAATTAGGAAAAGACGATGGAAATGGATAGGACATACATTGGGGAAACCATCAAACTGCATTACGAGGCAAGCGCTAACTTGGAATTCTGAAGGGAAGAGGAAAAGAGGAAGGCCAAAGAACACATTACGTCGGGAAACAGAATCAGATATGAAAAGGATGAATAAGAACTGGAAAGAGCTAGAAAGGATTGCCAAGGACAGGGTTGGATGGAGAATGCTGGTAAGCGTCCTATGCTCCTTCACGAGGAGTAACAAGCGTAAGTAAGTAATCTACTTGCCAAATACAAACTTATGTTTTTGATTGAGATCATGAACCGATTGATGTTAGACCATCATTGAAAACCCGGAAGCACTAAACGGCCGTCTCCTTCTATTATGGGACTCCTCAACAGTGCGCATCCACGATCCCACTCGTGGGATTCAAACCCACGGCATTCAGGCTTACGCACGAACGATTAATCTCCAGACTACTCAGCCGGTATCCAACGGCGTTAATGTCTACTTCCAACCAATCCACGAAATCGCGCGATCGTCTTCCATTGTATTGAAATAGATACCTGTCTCCACCTGGCACAAATTAGCTCCCCTGGTCACAGCTTCTCACAAATTTATATCCTTAGCTTCAAATTGCACTGTTTATGTGAGAACTAGTTTGATACTAACCATTCCACTATCTCCTCCTCCCTTTCTTAGGAAAAAAAAGAACTGGAGTAGGGACCAATAGATTTGGAACTTACAATTTATTGATGAATAAACTAATTAATTCAATAAATAAGCTTCAAAAACAAATAGAATAAAGAAAGAAACAAACAAACAATGAAAGTTTTACTTATCAATTCAAGTATAAATGATATAGAAAATGCCTGATTTATTTTCAGCCCATTTAAACAAAATATTTTCAACGAAAAAAAAACGAAAAAAAAAGAAAACAGAGGCACATAATGATTAGTTTATACGAACACACCGGAAGGAATATGTAATAAATGTAAATAATAATAATAATAATAATAATAATATAAACGACAACAAGAAGAACATCAGTGAGGTGTATATATTAATCATTTGGAATAAATAAGATAAACACATTAAACTACTAATAAGTAGTTTAGTATTATAAATAAAAAACAAAAGAAACAAGAGAGATCGAACTAATGAATAGATGCACCCATATAAAATGTAAAATATTTCAAAGAAATGCAAATGCAAAGGAGTACTCATTATAATAATAATAATAATAATAATAGTAATAATAAAGCACCTTTGGTATAGTATGTTATTTATGCAACTACCGTTTATCGAGAATATAGATACGTAAAGATGGTAAAACAAATGTATATATTGTGTTAAAACAGAGAGAATAAACCTACTGAATGCAATAAAATGAAATGAAGACAATGATGAACATCGGTGGTGGTGGTGGTGATGATGATGACATTAGTAGTAGTATTTGTTGTTGTTGTTCTCATTCAAATGCTTCTTTACGGATAAATTTCAAACCTTCTGTTAAGAGATATGATTTTGTTTCAACATTTGATAAAGATGTAGATGGAGATGTGAAATGCTCTTTTTCATCAATTGATTGTTTCGGGACTAATTGAATTGTTTCTGATTGTTTATCAAACATATTGAATTCATGACCTACAAATGTATCATGTATTGTTGCAACAGTAGAAGCAGTGGTATTACTAGTAGTGGTATCAGGTAGTATTGTTGTTGTTACAGAATTCTTAATTAATAATCGATTATATAATTGTTGACCAGTAACACTACGAAATTTATGTGATGGTGAATACAAACACAATACAGCTACAACGTATACATTCCACATACCATATACACCGGTTATAAAAGCTGATGTGTATTCCACACTTTTCTCACCCCATTTCCATTGATCTTCTGTAACCTATAAAAGAGAGAACAAACAAGAAAATATATCATGAACAAATACGATTCATATAGTGAGATATAATCAACGTAAAAATTGAGACAAATGTAAGTTAGTTCAAATTATCATGTCACATCAACACAACAAGATAAAACTAACAAGATGAATAGTAAAAAGTTCAAAATAAAGTAGTAACATAAGTGACAGTGGAAAAGATTAAACATTGCAGAAAATAGTTCAGTATGAAGGAATATTGAAACTCATTATTTGTGGGAAGATAAAAAATAAATGCATCTATGCCAATATGATCGATGATTCTTAGCCATATCACTCAGCATCACCAATCTGCTAGTTACAATTATCTCCTGTACTCCAACTAAGTAGTCTGCATTTACGAAGATGACTCAGTCTAGCAATGTATTGAAAGGGTAATACAATGTCTTCAATTTGTCACCTACATTTTCCTTAAAACTTAAAAGTTTATACTCCAGCCAACATCAAAAATCGAGGTAGGTAATGGTTTGGTATATGTTATTTATTTATTTTAACACATAGGTATTGGTACAAGGAGGCACCAAATACATATGCGCCACACAAATCGCAATTGATTTGTGTGAGGGCTGTGATACTGCCCGGGTGCCCAAACCGAACCAGATGGTTTTCTTAGTGGGGGGCCACACCCCGAGCCTTCGACCTGAAAATCTGATCCACAAGGCAGTGAAGCATTGTGAGGAGATACAGTCCGATGGTAGCCGATGACCAACGACTGGTTCATACGCCATTTGTTCCTTCAGGATACTGGAGCCCATGTGCACCATTGGTTTGGGATCCGGTTAGAGCGTCGGACATTCGCTTTTCGTCCTCTCATTTTCGTAAACAACACCCCCGCCACGTGAAGGTAGTGAGTAGGACTTTTCTGGCAGAGGCTATATACGCGTGGCCATGTGAGAGCATTTCGAGAGGAAGAGCGGACTCTTCCCACTCTCGGCCGTACCAGGGCATTTGGAGGCATGGTATATGTAGTGCAATATTGACACAAATAACATAAAGTATTATGAAAAAACCCAAATACCCTGGTATGGGTGGTGTGGGCCCGCCCTCCACCTCGAAATGCTCTCACATGACTACGCGTATACAGCCTCTGCCAGAGAAGTCCTACTCACTGCCTTCTCGTGGCACAGGTGTTATTTACGAAAATGAGAGGATGAAAAGAGAATGTCCGATACTTTAACCGGATCCCAAACCAATGGTGCACATGGGATCCAATATCATGAGAGAACAAATGGCGTATGAACCAATCGTCGATGACCGGCTGGCTATCATGGGACTGCATCTCCTCACGATGCTCCACTGCCTTGTGGATCAGACGTTTAGGTCAAAGGCTCGGGGTGTGGCCCCCCACTAAGAAAACCACTTGCTTCGATCTGGGCACCCGGGCAGTATCACAGCCCTCACACAAATCAATTGAGCTTTGTGTGGCGCATATGTATTTTGGTGCCTCCCTGTACCTATACTTATATGTTAAAATAAATAATAAATAAATAAACTATGCATAAAGTGGGTATTTTTTAAAATCAAACTTTAAGAGAATATATGCTGAATAGATGGATCAGATCGTAGATCATAATACAAAGATAACGACCATTCTTTTTTTCTTCACAGTTTCTTTACTATGGTAGTGTGTAGATATTACCGTTGATATTGGATAGTAGTTTGATAATGTCGTAAATTTATGTAGGTGGACAATACAAACCAGTAGGTGTTCATTTAATAGCTCATAGATAACGTAAGTTTTTATAAAGACAACTATCTGTTTAATGATCTTATCTCTCAACGATTATCAAATCTAAATCAGTTCTTGATGTAAACTATCTTTAAAAAAAAAGAAATAAATCTCGTCCAAAAACGAATCACCAAAGGAAAAAATGGTAACCATGTCAACCACTACCTTACCTATCAAAATAAGTTTACAAAACTAGGGAGTAAAAACGATAACTTCAAAAGAAAATAGAGAAAATCTCACGAAAATGACGTCTTGTTTTTTTTACCTGACTAAAAATAAAGAATGCAACAGTAAGTCCAGCGCATATTATTGTATAAGTTAAAAGTACCATGAAACGATATATAATACCACTGTAATATCGACGTTGTTCTACTGGAAGATTGTTTAACAGACGACGTTTACCCAATATTTGTATAAATGCTTTAACAACTAATATAGTTAAATAAATCATGTAAGCAAATGCACATAAAGCACCGATTACAATGCTTGTTAAACCCATTTTTGCAGCAATTGGATGAGACCATATACTGGAAAACAATGAGATAGAAACACATTAATGTAATGAATCATAATATCTTGATAGATATAGAAAAGGGTATGTGTATAAATTTTCAGACATATCATATCAATTAAACAGCTACAGATACATCTTTAGATTGCGTACTATGATCACTATGATCTCATAAATGATGGGTAATTCGTTAGATGCAATAATGGTGTTTTCTTTGCATTTTAAAAATGCACCAAGTTTAATAAACTCTCATCTGTCAAGTTCAACTGTATACTTTTGGCTGGATTTTCAGTTACATCAGTTTGACATATATAAAGCTTTTAATAATTCTGTAACGTTCATTATTCCCAAATCTATTGTCACTCAAGTGTCACAATATACTACTTACTGATAATCAGTAGCTTGAACAATATCCGGTAATTTCTGTAGTCTATGTGTTGTACCGAATAACGTTTTTGTTACAACTACCAATATTTTGATATTTCCGGTTTATTTTATTACATGTAATATAATTTCGTCTTCATCTTTCTGTGCAGTTTTCTTTTGTGAATGCGTTACTTATATTCTAAACGTAAGTCTAATTTGAGTAGATTCTACACATATGGTCGAATTTATTATTGTACACTAACGTTTACCATAGTTGTTTGAAAATGTTAGGTAGTTGAAAGTAATCAGCAGATCAGTGACGGATCGGATAACTCAGTGGTAACGTCTTAGACTGTAAAGCTGGGTGATGCGATTTTGAATTGTACAGGAGGTATACATCCCCTCAATATGACGGGTATATCCCGTTAACGAGCGTCAACCAGCACAGAACCTATATTAGTCAGCGTTGCCTCCTGATTGCCTCTAAAAGATGTAACATATCAATATAACCCAAGCTTTATTGAGTTACTTAAACTACCAGTCAATCTGTGACAACATTCGATAAGTATTAAATGACTAGATATACAAGCACTGGACACTACTCAGTAATCAATCAATCGTAAACAGATTGAAGTTTACCAGTTTATGACACATGCTGCCAATTTGTTTTTCATTGACTCATTTGAAGGAGTCATTTGTTTACTGGAATATTTATAACGTAATTTAAGAATGGATATTTAACCATTTAAGGATGATGAAGTTAATGTTTCATTGCTCTACAATATTAAGATTGTTTCAGACGAATCTCATTATTCAGTTCCTATATAGGCTGCGCTAATTGATATACAAGCTATATAAAGAAGATTCGGCTCATGAAAATTTGACGTGTGTCAAAGAAAATCTAAGTTGCAACTACCTCTCAAATAATCCTGTAGAATTCGAAAGCAATAGACGTATATGCTTTCGATAACATCGATGTTAAACACCCATGCAATTCATTTTTAAAAGTGTTTTTCAACTATGAGGAGATATAAATGACTAGAAGTACTACATGTACTGTTAAATATTATTGTATTCAACAAAAAATAAAGGCTTAATATATCTAACTAATATGGATAAACTTTCTCAAGAAGTCACATTTTCAAAGTCAATCAGTTGTAACGTAAAACCCGGTACCTATGTACATTAGTCAAAGTTGTCATACCCCGTTAACACAGAGAGATAACATTGTTATGACAAAGTAAATCTCATACATACACCATTCATATACCTAGTAAAATATCTATTACAAACCCGATTACGTTCTATTTGGATGACTTAAGAGATTTATTACATACACAATTCAAATGATTATGTTTGTTTCAGCGTTTGTGTCAAACCATGCATTTTACCTAAAATGTAGGGGATTTTATCCAACACAATGTTCAAGTTATGCGTATAAGATCCCAAAACCAAGATCTGAGACATTTGTTTGAGAAAATATGAAAAACAATACAAACTAATTAGAGTTTACAAAAGTTGAATTGTGAATTGTCGGATCGTTATCTCTAACATCATCAAACATGCTGTTGAAATGATCTAGAGTTCCGCAAGGCTACTTAATCCAGTATCTTGAAACAAATTTTTCGGATATAACTTTAGGGCTATAGTAATATCACGAGTAACCGACTGTAGCTTCACTGTCTTTTTTCAGACATAGACACTATTATGACCTTGACTCGTCCACCTACTAGTTCGTTCAATATGCAGGGGGGTGCACTGTCTTGAACCATTTTACCCTCTTGATATGCTAGTACAACCTTGAGACATGTAAAGCGTGAGTTCGACTAGTATCTGAACAGCCTTGAGAGCAGAGAAAAACGAAACTATCCTATCACTGAACTATGACCTGAATGGTTGACAAACCGAAAGAGATTATTTAAATGAAACCCTATGTTCGATCTATTCTTGATTCAAATAACTTAACAAGGTATATGAATAAACATATGACTAACAGAACTACAACGCACAACAACTTGATCGTTGAACGTCAAATATATTACTTTTATTTACACATCACTCTAGCCAACCAGCTTGACATGGTAGATCAATTGTTTAAACTAATATAGGTCAATTAGGTCACCGAAGTGGGCAATTCCGACACTGAATTAAGGTGGCAGATACAACAGAACTTTGATCACAATTTTGTTTATTATTTGTTGATCCCTACCTTTTAATGTTTGATCCTTATCATACATTGACACTGAGGACATTTTAATAAACATTGAATTAGCTACGAATTACTTGTAATTAAAATCGCGAACCAATCTAAGTTAAATAACCACTGGAAACCTGAAAGCAATGGACACCTGTCAAGTTCTAGTGTGGAACTTCTTAAGGACGCACATCCACGACCCCACCGACGAAGAATGGACCCGGGATCCATAGTCTCGTTAGCGAACGCTTAAACAACCTGGCCGTAATCCGATGGTATGCACGTCTAACTTCAATTGATTTGAGGCATTACGCGCCAGATCGTGAACTTAGTGAAGTAGTCCAGTGCTCTCAATTTTTTGGTGGTTTTCTAGCTTAGATTTGTACATCATCTCGATAACATTCAACAGTCTGCACAACACCTCATATTGATAATTACCTGTAAAATGGATTACGTATTTGTACTCCACGTTCAGCTAATTCAAAAATAAATAAAGCAGCACAACAACTGGCCACAAGTAAAATTCTTGGCCAATACAATCCATTTAAACCATAACAATTACTATTAGGCTTTGATCGATTCCCCGATGATGAGTCTTGCATCATGTGCTCACCAGTGAAAACAAGCCAAAAGCAAACAAGTGTAGCATAAAATAAACCTTGACGTATATCACTTAAGACAAGCCAAAATGAGAAGTTATATCTGAATGGGGAAAGAAAAGGATTGCATAAAAACATTTGATCAAAATCGTAAGATTTGTTAACAGTAAGACACAATTAATTAGTACAGTTTAATGTATATTAGATACTAATACTTAACACCAATAGATGCAAAATGCCAGCTATCTGATGTAGAAACAGGTTTGAACAAAATATAAAAGTAAGCACATGGTAACATGGTTATTCATTGAACGACTACTATCGGTCCGAACAGTGTAGATAAGTGAATAGACTATCCGGTTAGAGTTCACAACACAATTGTGACTAATAGTTGAGGATATTTAGGAATTCCAAAGTCTATCGAAACTTCACAATATTTTAACTAATGAAAAAAATCCTCATGACAGTGTTAACGGGACAAAGCACGCTCCGTGCAGGATTATGTTGGGGCACGCTGATTGGCTATTTCAGCACCAGTGGATACTTGGAGAAGACTCTAGAATCTTCTCGTGTATAAAACTGTACTAACGTCTTTCTTATTATGATTGCTACTACCATCTACCCTTGTAATTTGGAATATAATTTCGTTCCTGTTTAACCGTGTTCTGATTCGGGGACTTGTCGAATAAAGTAGTATCTAAGACTACTAAGTAATAGGAACAGCAGGGTCGTAATAAGAGGAACTATGACAGATAGATACATTTTTAATCGTTAGTGTTAATAGGCAAAATAATTTTCCGGTATTCATAAGTTAGTTTATAGAAACGTGAAATATAGTTCGCGTTCAACTGACAGATAAATAACTCGTCAATATATACAGAGAGGATTATTATCACAATAGGATATCAACTAGACACAAAAAAGACATTAGTAAACAATACAGTTTATCAATCATATTTTGCAAGCGTCATACCTACAGGTACTCATGACTTTAAATTATCCTAGGTGCTCAAAAACAGTTCAATAAAACGATTACATTTTGTAATCATAAAAGCATTGAGTGTAATTTTAACAATTGGTATTTCCAAATTAATCAGTCTGTGAGAGTTAATTGGTAACACCGTTGCAATGAGAATTGTTTGATTTCACGAATAATAAATATTCGATATACAAATTTTCGTTTGCCTAAAATACATAAACTATATGACCTAATAGGGGTCTAACCCTCCAAATGCCCTGTTACGACCGAGCGTGAGGAGAGTCAGTTCTCTCTCAAAATGTTCTCACATAACCACGCGCATACAGTCATTGTCACAGAAGTCCTACTCACTACCTTCTCGCGGCAGGGGTGTTATTTACGAAATTGAGAGGACGAAAAGCGAGTGTTCCTCGCTTTAACTGAGTTGGTGGATATGGAGGATCCGTCTAGGAGAGTTGAAAAATTCTGATTCCAAACCAGTGGTGCATATGAGTTCCAGGACCCTTAGGGAACAAATGGTATATGAACGTATTGTTGGTCGCTGGCTATCATGGGACTGAGTCGCCTGACGTTGCTCCAGAATTTTCTAACTCCTCTGTATCCACCAACTCAATTAAAGCGCCGGATATTCGCTTTTCGTCCTCTAAATTTCGTAAATAACACACCAGCCGCGAGAAAGCAGTGAGTAGGACTTCTGTGGTAGTGACTATATACACATGTCCATGTGAGAGCTGACTCTCCTCACCTTCAGTCGTGCCAGGGCTTTTGAAACCATCATGTACGGACGGCAATGTCTTTCAGTTCAGATCTGAAGGCATAAATCAAATTGTATTTTTCAATATCGATTCACATCTCCAGTTTTTGATAATTAATAATTATATATATATATATATATATATATATATATATATATATATATATATATATATATCCTAGTGAATCTAAGAAACAGACTTACATTAGTGATAACCATTCAACTGGACAATTCAAGATAGATAAACAAATTCCCAAGATAAATATAGTTTTTTCTAGTATGTTTGGTGGACGTTCTAACTCCCTGACACGATGACCAAAAAATATTAAAGCCAGTAATACAATTGGGAATGAAAATGTTTTCAATGAAAACCATACCTATAATTAAGGATAGACAAGAAAAAGTTTTCATATAGCTACAAACAACACTGAGTTTGTTAGCCACACATTAAATGAGGGTAGATTGAGATAGAAAATTTATTATCATACAGATTAACAGTCTTGCAATGCAGCCACATAAAATAACAGATAGCACAATTATTTAATGGCTTTAAGGAACATTTGGTGAATCATTCGTTAAGAAAATCATTTGGACTGAAATCATACTCACTTCTTAAGGCGATTTTAATGTTAAGTACTCTTATGCAATGCTGTGTTCACTGGGTGAAATTATTAGACAAATGTTCATTTAAATCCTCTTATACCAGACTAGCTTGATTGCCTCCAACCATCCAACCAATTGTTCAGTTCAATTATGTAATTTAGTTAGACAGTCCGTTGACTCCAAAGATCATTTTCCTGGACCTCTTAAACAATTTTTTTAGTTCCTAAAGGTGAACTGAATTCTTACTGCATCTCAAAACACAATACCGCTTCCGTAAACTGGTCACAATTTAAATAAGACTCAATCATATAGACTAAACAACTGACACCAAGTCTCAGTTATATTCTGTATCTTTGAAAAATAAAGTAATGTACAGCTAGGGATATTGGTATATCCCTACTCAACTGACTTTATGTATACCGAACTAAGATTTAGTGAAAATAAACTCATTATCCGTTAGTGAATGTAGTAAACATTAGATTCTTTTAAGACGTTCATCATATCTACCTAATATCTGATGATTATAAAGGTATATTTTAAGTTACAGTGATTGGAGATATTGGATCGAATGACTGAGACGCAAGCACTCCTTGTCTTCCCTTAGATCCCAAAATTGTCTCATGCTTTCTGCTTCTCTTTCTATCAATAAAATTTTGAGCCACTATTGATACATTTACTACTTTTAATAGTCTCATCTTGGCGTTATAATATAGTGTGGCAAATTGAACTGATGCATATGTCCCAGGTACTACGTTTGATATGACTAACTGACATTATTAGTTGTTGATTAAAAAACTTAAATCTTTTTTATTCGTGAGAACCATATTTCTATCAAACTAATCGTTCAAATATTGACGAATATTTGTATAAATTTAATGTTTTTTTACGATTTTGAAAGTAAAGCAAACAAAATAGTGCAGTCGACAGATAATTTCCACTTAAACATTAAAAACACGAAGTTCAACGAAGGGATCTCTTTTTAACGAATTTATTATCAAGCTGTACAAATGGCTATCCAGACCGCTTCACGGATAAGAATATGAAAAGAAGTAATTATGACAAGGAATCCGATTATTCCGTTCCAAAGAAAAACCTCTATAAAAGTTTGGAATTTAAAGGTGATCGAATATCAGATGCAATCAAAAATCGTTTAACGACAGCAATGAGAAGAACATTCTATGCAGCAAGACTGCGAATAATGTTCACTAGTAGGAACTTGTTTTCTGTATCTATAGAAGATAAGCTTCCTCGTCTGATCATCTGAATGTGCATCTACCAGTTCACCTGCTCTTGTGGAGCAAGGTACATTGGCCGTAGCCAGAACTCGCTTTCAACTCAGATACGGGAACATGTCCTAGTGTGGTTCTACAAGGGTGAGAGGAAAGCAGTTAGGAGTCCCATACTTGAACATCTAACCGACTGTAATCATTCTACTCATCCACAGTTTGATTTTAGGGTTGTATACACGACTCGACCAAATCTACCTAGATTTCTTCGTATTCAGCTCCTAAAAATAGCCGAAGCTCTTACAATCCATGAACTTAAGCCAGAATTATGCGTGCAAATGAAGTACGTCCTATCGTTACCTCGGCCTTTATTATTATTACTGCATTTCTCCGTTTACTTATGTTTCATTCTCATTATTTGATTTATAATTTCTCATGGTATCACTTTATATATTTTTCACCTGTATGACCTTTAATTACTTTTAATTATTGTCACGAAAAAACATTTTAATCATCTTACTACATTCACGTTATAATTCGTTACTAACTTATGAAGTAGATTATTATTATTCGTATTACATAATCTAGTATTATAAACTTTCTATTACATCATATTGGTTATTCCCTGTTCACATTTCCTCACGAAACTAGTACGTTGACAAAAAGTTATATATATACGATTGTACAGTTTGGTAATAAATTCGTTGAAGAGATCCCTTGGCTGCAATAGTGCAGTGTAAAATAACTGTTGGAGAAATATATGTGGGTAAAACAATCGCAAAATGCTTTCGTTGTGTTTCTTGCACTATTTTACTCCAAAAACTATTTATTCCCTAGTCATGGGAGGCTAGGAATTTGATCTTTTACTTATTAGGATTACTAATTTCATATTTTGAACAAACTATCCTAAGTTTACAAGCTATAATTTCAAATGAAGTGTTTAACTTAAACTTGTCCATTTTTAGATTGTTAATTTTAATACATAACTATAGAACCTGAGAATTTATTGGACAGTATTCTTCGTTTATACATCAGTTTTTACTGCAATGTAACAAGATTTTATTATTTCGAACCACGTCGACTTTTATCATAATATACATCAGATTAATAGGTTTAACTACAGGACACAAGTATCAAGTTTGGGATCCAAAACACAGCATTTTAGAAACAACAATAATGTGCTGACTATACATCACAAAAGAATCATAAAATATCAAAGGATACGAAAGAGTAGAAAAACGTATAGGTAGAGTAACAAGAATTAGAAGATAGTGTCCAGGAAAACATTCCGATCTTCTAAGTTGCAAAAAACTCAGTAACATTGAGAGTGTTCGAACAACTGCTGTGAATAACACATACTGTGTAGAAGATAGATCACTAGTTAATGCGGAATAGGGGTGGGTTTAGAGTTGTGTTTAAACTATATGTATAGTATACAACTAGAGAATTTGGGTGACATGGTTTAGAATTGTTGATAATGGGGCAGATTGATTTCTCTACCCTCCTCCTGACCTTACGTTCCAGTATTCCTCCATTTATATTTTTCCACTGTCTTTCCTAACCACATTCTTAGTATAATTTCTATCACATTACACGCATTTTTTCGTTATTTGTTTCGTCGTCCTAATATGTTATGACGAACTGGATCAGCACACATCTGTGCCAGGCTCTATGTTGATGATGGCATAAGTACAAAGTTAGGTTATTATATAGTACCCATATTTTAAATTTTATTCCAACCTGGCTAAAGTTAATTGTCTGCCAGAGATTTTTAAAAAAAGCCGAGTCAGATTCACAAAATCTAATTATTTCACATTAAGATGATACCAAGAACGACTATGTTGTACGCAATGTGAAGAAATGGGAATATAGACGGTCGAAGTAGCAAACAATAGCCACAAAGAAATAACTAACTTATTTACCTTAGTAAATCCTCCATTTTGATGAATTTCAACCATCCACACATCCTGAATACTTCCAACACCAACGTTGATTTTCCGCTTCTCATCGACAGGGATTCTCAAGTTTAACAAATATTCTTCATGATGACAACTAGCTAAGGTGAACAAAGGTAAAACTTCACAATCGTAGTAAAATCCTTCATCAAGTGCATGAGCATGTCCTTGGTGTCGCTTGGCTTCACGATCAAGAGTACATTTAAGCGGTCGAACTTCAACTGAACGAGCTAATTCGTGCCAAACATGTTTAGGATCATCATGATTACGATAGCCCAATCGTAAATCGAATGTTATCTCAGTATTTTCTAACTAAAATGTATTTAAAAAGCGTGAAAAACAATAATAATTTAGAATTATACGATGAATAATACTAACTGATATGTGAACTGAATAAATTTACCATTTTGAAAACATTTCGCTGAACACCTAAAAAGATCCTACTAAAATAGGAAAAAAACCATAATTCTGCTGTAAACGGTAGAAGTAATACTAAAAGCAAGATGCACAAACTTGCGTTGTCATAAAGTCAACTCTATGGTTTGTACTGTACTTCGATAGATGCATTTCTTAGCGGTTTTTTCCTTCTATAGCAAGCAAAGCTCATAGAATTAAGTTAAATACATTTTTATCACAATGAGCCCCCAAATGCCCTGGTATGGCCGACAGTGGGGAGAGTCCACTCCCCCTCTCGAAATACTCTCACATGGCCACGCGTATACAGTCTCTGCCAGGGAAGCCCTACTCACTACCTTCTCGCACCAAGGGTGTTGTTTACGAAAATGAAAGGACGAAAAGAGAATGTCCGGCACTTCAACCAGATCCCAAATCAATAGTGCACATGGACTCCACTATCCTGAAGGGACAAATGGTGTATGAACCAATCGTTGGTCATCGGCTACCATCGGACTGCATCTCCTTACGATGCTTCACTGCCTTGTGGATCAGATTTTCAGGTCGAAGGCTCGGGGTGTGGCCCCCCACTAAGAAAACCACCTGCTTCGGTTTGGGCACCCGGGCAGTATCACAGCCCTCACACAAATCAATTGCGATTTGTGTGGCGCATATGTATTTGGTGCCTCCTTGTACTAACATCTATGTGTTGAAATGAATAAATAAACAAGATACCTCCACCACAATGAACATGTGTTTCCCGAACCCTATTATTCAGCTGTGAAGCTTTCATTTTCATTTTAGACGATATCGTTACATGAGCTACAGAGATTTTTCTCTATATCACGATTTCTATGAGTGAAAACGTACAATTCAGGAACTTATCATGGGAGTTAGGCTGTAAAGAGATAAGCATCGTACACAAAAACCCTGGTTCGTGTTTCACATATATAAATATATGCCCAAGTACGGCTGAAGGTAAGGAGAGTCGATTCTCCCTCTCTAAATGCTCTCACATGGACATGCGTATACAGTCACTGTCACAGAAGTCCTACTCACTGCCTTCTCGCGACTGGGGTGTTATTTACGAAATTGAGAGGATGAAAAGCGAATGTTCGGCGCTTTAACTGAGTTGGTGGATATGAAGGATCCGTCTAGGAGTTGGAAAATTCTGATTCCAGACCAATGGTGCATGTGAGCTCCAGGATCCTGGGGAAATAAATGGCATATGAGCGCATTGCTGGTCGCTGGCTACCATGGGACTGCTCATAAGATTGCTCCACTGCTTTGTGGATTAGACCTGTAGGTCAAAGGCCTTTATTTCTTCATTTATTTTAACACATAGATGTTGGTACAAGGAGGCACCAAATACATATGCGCCACACAAGTCTCATTTGATATGTCTGAGGGCTGTGATACTGCCCAGGTGGTCTAACCGAAGCAGGATTAGCTCCCTAAGAAAACCACCTGCTTCCATTCGGGCACCCGGACAGTATTCCATCCCTCATGAAAATCGAATGACTAATTGTGGTGCATACATATTTGATGCCTCCTTGTACTAATATTTGTGTTTACATAAATAAATAGTACTGAATAAACTGAGCTCTGTTAGTTGAAACACCATAGATTAAGATGCAAATGATTTAAACGATATGCATACTTTTATACAACATATATAAAACAATACCCGCCAAGTACCAAATATTGGTTAGTAAAATTACAACAGAATATCCATTCGCTACAACTAATATGATGGCTACACTTTCTTCAATATATTATCGACCTGAGAAACAGGCGGATAAGAGACATGTTCTTAAGGTTATGTGACCGTTTTAGCCTCAACCAACGCTGTTATGTACATTAGATACATAACAAACAGCTACCGCACGGCTTATATTAGTGAAATGAAGCCAGTCAATACTTGATTACATACTCTTTACTACTATTACTTCTGCCCGAAGTTTTGTACATGAATAATTATGAATTTTAACTTACTTCCTTGGAATATTTTTGCTTGATATCTAACATCAACACACCAATGACTTGTTGGAACCATCTGGTCATATGCAGATCCATCCCATCTCTTGGGTGTGGGAACTGAGCAATGAACACTATTGAATTTGCATCAACGTCAGATGGAACGACTTCCTCAATATCACCATCTGGTAGGAGTTCCTGACAGCTCTCATTAGATACCGGTCTGGCGAAATGCCACTTTAATACATCACCGGAACGATCAATACACTTGGACATTAATATCTGGTCTGTTGTGTTAGGAGCCGGGGCTATAAGTCCACCAATAAGGAAAAAGCAAATTTGTACAGCCAGCATAAGACATCCAAAGGAAGCAAGCTTCCGAACGTTTAAAGTCTCAAGAATAACACCAGCCATATCTAGTTTGAACAAAACTCAGAAGTATGACCTTGTAGGTTCATTAAATCTCAGTTTCAGTTTCAATTTGGAAAGAATAGGAAGCTAGATGCCCTGTGTTAATTTGGCAGTTACTATCTCTCAGTTTACCCAACTTTTCCTTTTCAAATGGTCGACAGGTGGAACTTCAACCACGTGTTGAGTCAATGAGTTCCATTCAAATAGTTCAAATGGTTGTGGACGGAATAGAAGAAGCTTTCGCATAACAGGCTTCCGTGTCTAGTAGCAGGGGATCACCAAAACCTCTAGACAAGAACCTAGGTATATTAACGATAAAAAAGGAAAAAATGAATTGGTAAATCATAGCAAGATACTATCCTTAGTCCTTAAGAATAGATCAAGTCGCCTCTTAAAGGACTCCTGGGAAGTTGCTCGGACTAGCTCAGCTGGCAGCGAATTTCAGCATTTGACAACTCTTAAGGAGTAGAAGTTGTGTCTGCAGTCCGTTCTACTATGTTGTATCTCTAATTTCTGGGTGTTACCCCTTAGGTTAGTGTTGGGACTAAGCTTAAGTAGGTGTTTAAGAAAATGTCCAGGTGTGTTAAGGATACTGTAAGCCATTAGAAGGTCACCTCTGAGACGCCTATACTCTAATGGGTAAAGGTCGAGTGATTGGAGGCGCTCATCGTAAGGTTTAAATTTGAGTCCCCGAACTGATTTCGTGGCTCGCCGTTGGATACGCTCAAGTGTCCTTATCCTTTTGGAGTGTAGGAAGGAATACTATGTTTCCGTACTCTAAATGGGGACGAATGAAACTATTGAAGATTATGTGGAAAGTTCTCCCGTCAAACTGACCAAAAATGCGCTTCAATGTTACCAGTGCCAGGTTTGCTCGAGAGGCGTTTCTGTCACAGTTGGCGTAAGACTTTAAGTCGTAGGGCACCAGAACTCCTAAATATTTTTCGACTAGGGATACTACTAGAGAGGAGTTTCCTAAGTTGTAACTGTAATCTGCGACGTGTCGCAGATGGACTACTTTACACTTTGAGGTGTTAAAGGTAAGTCCGTTATCGTCTGCCCAACTTTGAAGTCGAGTCAGATCCTCCTGAAGTGCCTGTATGTCCTCTTGGTTGCGTGTCTCTCTCCAAAGTTACACGTCATTGGCAAAGAGCAATATGTCTGACGTTACCTGTTGAGAAAGATCATTTATATGAATCAGGAAGAGGAGAGGTCCTAGTGTGGTGTGTGCTACTTATGTAGACATAAGTAGTATATGACTTGAGCAATGAACAGAATTTCTGTCGGTAGAGAGATAAGAAGATCGAACAACAAAGAATGAAGACAGAAGGCAAGTTTTATGAAAATGCATGAACAAAGGGATTCTGAGTGATTTGAGACAATTGATGAACAATTTGCAAATTACCGATTCAATATATGGTTTTTAAAAATGTAGTGAATAAAACACCAGTGGGGACAATCCAATGTATTTAACAACAATTTACAGAACTAGTTAGTAAAATCAAACAAACATATATTGAATCGGTAATTTGCAAATTGTTCATCAATTGTCTCAAATCACTCAGAATCCCTTTGTTCTTGCATTTTCATAAAACTTGCCTTCTGTCTTCATTCTTTGTTGTTCGATCTTCTTATCTCTCTACCGCCAGACATTCTGTTCAGTGCTCAAGTATTATGCTACTTATGTCAACATAAGTAGCGTACACCACACTAGTACTGAGCCCTGAGGGACCCCACTAGGACATTCCATAGCCTTTGAGAAATTAATGTTTACCCTGACCTTAAAATTTCGATTTGACAGATATGAACTGAGCGAGTCAACTAAAGGAGGTTTGATACCCAATTGTTTGAGCTTGTTAATAAGACAGATGTGGTTAACCCTATCAAAAGCTTTAGAGAAATCAAGGTAAATGATGTCCACCTTCCCCTTGCGATCAACGATGCTTGTCCATCTGTCCGCCGCGGTCAGCAGGTTCGTCATACAGGAGTAACCCTTCCTGAAACCATGCTGTTGGGGTGAGAAGAAATTTAAGGACAGCAGATAGTCGTGTATACCATCGTATACCAGGGACTCCATGATCTTTGAAGGTATAGAGAGAAGAGCCACCGGTCGGTAACTTGAAGGTTCGCTGCGTCGACCCCCCTTGAAGATTGGTGTGATATGAGCCAGCTTCAAAATATCTGGTAGTTTGCCCTGGCTTAGCGAGTGTGAGAACATCACGCTAAGCGGTGTTGCCAGGATTGAAGCTGCTTCCCTCAGTATAGCAGAATGGACCATATCTGGACCGGGAGAAGTGTCTTTTCTTAGGTGTTTCTGTTTTCGGTACACCAAGTCAGCGTTCAGGTTCACTTCGATAGGTCCTGTGCAGTTGCAGATGAAACTCTCATCAATATGGTTAATGTGAGTCGGTTGAAATGTCCGGAAGCATTGTTCAACCAGAAGTTTAGCGGCGTCACCGTCGTTATTGGTCGGGCCATTAGGACTTAGCCGTTGGGAAACTCTAGTTTTTGCTTGTCGAAGAGAGGCTGAATAACGGAATAAGCTTATCGGATTGGAGACAAATTTATCAATAAGCTTCATCTGGTACTGAAGTCTGTCCTCTCGTACTGTTTTTGAGCAAGTGTTCTTTATATGTATGTGTTGCCTGTACGCGCCGTTCTTATCAGTTCGTTTGTATTCCGCCCAACAGTGCCTTTTGCGTCTTAGCAAACGAAGGGTGTGGTTCTTCATGACTGCAGGTTGCTTGTAAATTTTGGGGATAATTTGAGGAACATACTGCCTTGTAGCACATAAGATCGTGAGCAGTATGAAATCCAAATTTGCATCCATATCAAGTCGAGGGTGAATTCCCAAATCCACCTTTTGCAGATTTGAAGAATTATGGTCTGTTATGATATTAGTACTGCTCTAATAATATAATTGATCCTAAAATTGCAGATTTGTCATGATGTAACTACCTAATTTATAAGATCTTACGTGTAAGTCACATCATTGTTTACACTGACTCATCTTATCGTAACAATTACCAATATATGATGGAGAACGCATTCAGCCTGAAGATAGAATAATTTATTTAATATGAGTAACAGTAAGTTGTACAGAGCGACCATGCCTGCGACGCTGAGCCATGTCATTCGATCAATTAGAACTAATTCAATTTATTGTTTCAGCCTTCTCCATCGTTGGTTTTTTCTCCGCGTTAAACGTTGGATATATGTTTTCACAGTTGTCTCGTGTTCAGCTTTAGGGATTGTGTGGTTAGGGCGTAATGCCACTACAAATACATCGAGAAGCACTTCGCCTAAGCTGGCTAGAAGTTGCAAGGGATGTGTGGCACGGCGTACCCACTCGTGATCTTGTGTGGATGCGTGACCGGGTACCTTCAGCTAGTGTGTCTAGTAAAATTAATGAAGTCGGCATCATTTCCGAAGACCTATAGAACTATTTATTTACCGCTACGAGAATACCGAAGGACAAAGGTGGGAACGGAGATAAGAATAAGTTAATGATACATAATAGTGATATCGGTAGCAAAGTTACGAGACTGGCACAACCATTTCGGGAGGTAGATGGTTATCCATGAATGAACATGCGTTTTTCGAGTCGTCCAAGGTATTCTTATCTCTTTCGAAGGAGTGGCCCGAAAAACGTCCTGAACTTTGAAGTGAGGCCATGCGTACATTCTCGTTAAAATTTAGAGAGGTTTTTAAGGTGGATGTGCCACGTTTTCTTCACATAGAGTGAATAGTTGAATTTGCTATGATTACATTCTTTTAGACGTTGATGTGGCTCTAGAGCGTTCCTGAACAGGTCGTATACTATTGAACTGTTGGCTTTCTCACTCTGTTTCAGGATTATAAGGCAGACGTTTTTACATGCTGGTGACTTTCCCGAGCAAATGATTCTTGTTTTTCTTAGTGCAAACCATGAAAAAAGATGGATATTCATTTGGTCTTTAGGTATCCTAGGGTCACAAATAGTCCCCTGGTTTTAGGTTCCAAGGTTAGTTGAACGGCGAAGTTAGCATAAGAGATATCTGGCACCTCTAGTTTGGTAAAAATTTCGCCGGCAGGCCTCATGAGTGCAAAGACCACCTGGTTTGTACGTTCATGTCAAGTCATAAATCTTCAGTAGCATTGGACCCGACCACACGATACTCGAAGCCGAACATACGATAGCTGAGAAGACCTGCAATAAATATCCCGGATAAGGGGGTCAAATGCGGTGAACGCAGGAACACTCCAGAGGTATGGATTGCCTCAATCATGCAGACGTGGTCGCTCTACACAATCTCATGTTGTATCAAATTAAAGATGTTACTTTATCGCCATCTCAAGTGTGTTCTTCGTAGTTTGATAGCTTCAACCACTGACAGGCACGATAAGATTAGTTAGTATAGACAACATGTTGACTTTCACATAATGTCTGGTAGGTTAGGTCACATCATGGCAAGTACACAATTATAGATTATGCTTACTTATCTAGTAGCAAAGACAAATACATTATTACTGACCCAGTCCCCAATTCTACCAACTTATAGAGACAATATGTTATGTTTGTATTTGACTGTCAGCCATACCTAGAAATATCTCCCTACGCTACTAGCTTTGGCGTTTCGTATATTTTCTTATGCCAGGTAGAAGCTACGGTCAGAATATTTTGGAAGATTTATGCATTTGTGCCAGGCCTGTAACAAGCATCATATGCCTCTATTAACCCTGGATCTTTTCTTTGCAGGTGTTTATTTTCATAGGAAATTGTCTTTAAGCCGAAGTGGCCACGTCCTCGTTGGTGAATAGCTTCAAAAGGGGACCTGACAAACACGTACTTACTCGTGGATTACTAAAGGTGTATAGACCAGGAAACCAAATGAACTTGAAACAGAATGAGTGTTATTTAAAACGCCCAATGAACGGGGCTTAATATTACAGAATGGACATAAACTAAAGGGGTCAGGAGTTTTCATCTGTAGGGACTTGCCGCTCGTAGACTGTGTAAAAAGATGATAAGCTGAAAAAGGTCCAAAACCTAGCTTAGATGCTAGC